CGGAGGGATGGGGAGAAGGTCGGAGGGACGGAGGGACGGAGAGGTGAAGGGATGGGGGGACGGAGGGACGGACAGGAGGAGATGGGGGAGATGGGGACGGGAGGACACGGGGACAGAGGGACGGAAGGACGGACAGAGGGACGTGGGAATGGAGGGACGGACGGAGGGATGGAGGGACGGACAGAGGGACGTGGGAATGGAGGGACGGACGGAGGGATGGACAGAGGGACAGAGGGACGGAAGGACGGACAGAGGGACGTGGGAATGGAGGGACGGACGGAGGGATGGACAGAGGGACAGAGGGACGGAAGGACGGACAGAGGGACGTGGGAATGGAGGGACGGACGGAGGGATGGACAGAGGGACAGAGGGACGGAAGGACGGACAGAGGGACGTGGGAATGGAGGGACGGACGGAGGGATGGACAGAGGGACAGAGGGACGGAAGGACGGACAGAGGGACGTGGGAATGGAGGGACGGACGGAGGGATGGACAGAGGGACAGAGGGACGGAAGGACGGACAGAGGGACGTGGGAATGGAGGGACGGACGGAGGGATGGACAGAGGGACAGAGGGACGGAAGGACGGACAGAGGGACGTGGGAATGGAGGGACGGACGGAGGGATGGACAGAGGGACAGAGGGACGGAAGGACGGACAGAGGGACGTGGGAATGGAGGGACGGACGGAGGGATGGACAGAGGGACAGAGGGACGGAAGGACGGACAGAGGGACGTGGGAATGGAGGGACGGACGGAGGGATGGACAGAGGGACAGAGGGACGGATGGAGGGACGAAAGGACAGAAGGATGGAGGGATGGAGGGACGGAGGGAGGGAGGGACGGAGGGACAGAAGGACGCAGGGACAGAGACGGGAGGACGGAGAGAAGGTGGGACAGACGGACGGGGGGACGCGGGGAGCAGGAAGGGGCTTGTGGTGCCCAGAGCCGCCTCCACCACCCCCGTACCACCGTCGTGACACCGTCACCACCGTCGTGACACCAT